GTGGTCGTGCTGGGGTGTGGTCGTGCTGGGGTGTGGTCGTGCTGGGGGGTGGTCGTGCTGGGGGGTGGTCGTGCTGAGGGGGTGGCCGTGCTGGGGGGTGGTCGTGCTGGGGCGTGGTCGTGCTGGGGCGTGGTCGTGCTGTGTGAGGTCGTGCCTGGGGTGTGGTCGTGCTGGGGAGTGGTCGTGCTGGGGTGTGGTCGTGCTGGGGGGTGGTCGTGCTGGGGGGTGGTCGTGCTGGGGGGGTGGTCGTGCTGGGTGGTGGTCGTGCTGGGGCGTGGTCGTGCTGGGGCGTGGTCGTGCTGGGGCGTGGTCGTGCTGGGGCGTGGTCGTGCTGGGGTGTGGTCGTGCTGGGGTGAGGTCGTGCTGGGGTGTGGTCGTGCTGGGGTGTGGTCTTGCTGGGGTAGGGTCGTGCTGGGGCGTGGTCGTGCTGGGGCGTGGTCGTGCTGGGGTGTGGTCGTGCTGTGGTGAGGTCGTGCTGGGGTGTGGTCGTGCTGGGGTGTGGTGAGGTCGGGATTTCAAAAACAAGCGTTTCGCTCGAGACATCCTCAAATTTTAATTCGCCGGCCTCAAAAACAAGCGTTTCGCTCGAGACATCCTCAAATTTTAATTCGCGGGCGCTCAAAAACAAGCGTTTCGCTCGAGACATCCTCTAATTTTAATTCTCGGGCTCGTTATTTATCAGGGAAAAATTCGCCGGCCTCCTTCGACCTCGTTATTTATCAGGGAAAAAATTCGCCGGCCTCCTTCAAGCAGGCACCGGGGGACTTGTTTACAAACTAAAAGAGAACCCTGGGCCTCTGCCCTTTCCGGGAAAAACGAAAAGCGTCAGAACCCCCTCCCCCCTCCTCCTCCCCCCTCCTCCCTCCTCCTCCCTCCTCCTTCCTCTCCTCCTCCTCTTCCCTCCCCCTCCTCCTCCTCCTCTTCCTCATTCCTCCTCCTCTTCCTCCTCGCCGAGCTCCTCCTCATCCTCCTCCTCCTCCCCCCCCCCGGGCGCGCGGGGCGGCGGCGGGCTCGCCGGCGAGGTGGTCGACGCGACGGTCTCGTTGAGACCGTCGTCGCCGTCCCCGCCTGCCGGCCCAGGGCGCGAGGAGGGCGGCGAAGATAAGAGGGGGAAGAAAGGGGAGGGGTGGGTTGGGAAGCAAAGTAGCGCGCGGGCGGGAAGAACGGTTTGGGCGGGGAGGGATGACCAGGGCGCGAGGGGCTCAGGGCGAAGAGGAGGGGGGGGAAGTCCTAGGAGGGGAGGCAGATCCAGCCGCGGCGACGAGGGCGTCAGGAAAGGCCGAACCAGCCGAAGAGGACCAGGAAAAAACGAAAAGCGTCAGAACCCCCTCCCCCCTCCTCCTCCCCCCTCCTCCCTCGTCCTCACTCCTCCTCCCTCCTCCTCCCTCCTCCCTCCTCCTCCTCTTCCCTCCCCCTCCTCCTCCTCCTCCTCCTCTTCCTCATTCCTCCTCCTCTTCCTCCTCCTCCGTGTGTTTTTACGTGAGGCGCGCCACTTGGCTTGCCTTACGTAAAAAAACATTGCTGGCGGCAACTTATCCTCCTCCTCCTCCTCATCCTATCCTTCTCCTCCTTCTCCTCCTCATCCTCCTCCTTCTTCTTTCTCCCCCCTCCTCCTCCTTCTCCCCCTCCTCCTGGGCCACGACGTGCGAGCGGTGCCGAAGCGTCGTGCAGGCAGGCAAGACGATACCTTCGATACCACTAAGACCAGCCCAGGAGGAGAGGACGCGGGAGGGCTCGAGACCGCGCTCGCCTTCCCCTCGCGCGCCCCGGGCCGCGAGGCAGCCCGCGACCGGTCGAGGGGGAGGGCGCGGCCGCGGGAGGGGCCGCTTTTTCCCTCTGCGGCCAGCCCCTCGCCCGCTCGGGGGGCTCTGACGGAGGGGGCCGCGGCCGAGAGAGCGGCCCCGCCGCGGCGCCCTCCGGCGGCCTCGCGCGCCCCCTTCGCCGCGCGGCGAGCGGACCCCGCGCCGCGACAGCCCTCGCCCGAGGCGGGTCGCGCTGGCCCGCAGCCCCGAGCGCCGCAGCTCCAGGCCAACGGGGCCGGCTGCCGCAGCGGGGGCGCCTCAGGAGGCAGGTCGCGGTCGCCCGCGGCGCCGTGGCAGCAGGGGGCGGAACGCGGGCAGGATCGACGGTTCGCGACCCCACCCCCTTGGAGGGGGTGTTGCTCGCGACGCTGCGGCTCTGCGACGCGGCCGAGTGATGATGGTGCCCGTGCTGATGCTGCTCGCGCGAACGCGGCCAGTTCTTTGCAGGCCGCCTCCTCGGGCTCACCGCCCTAGGCCTCTCCGTCGCGCTAACCGCCCCCTCGCCGTGCCGCGCCGCTGCAGCCCCCCGCGCTCGCTGCTGCTGGAGGTAGCTCACTGCCTGGGCCGATCCGCCTGCCGACTGGCGGGGGCTTGCAGGGGCCGCGGGCGATCTGCCCAGGGAACCCTTTGACGCGGGCTCTATCCTTTCTGCTTAACCTGTTCAGAGCCTCCCCAGGATCACTTGGTCGCTATGCTCGCGACCCCCTCGACGCGAAGGTACTCGAGCACATGGCCACCAAGGGAGGTCGGCAGCGGCGCGGCCTACTGCCATCGCGAAGACCGACGTCGCGCGCGACGGCGAGGACTTCGGCGATGTGAACTGGGAGGCGCTCCGCTGCAGGCTGGTTGTTACTGTGCTGGCGCTCGACTCGGAGGCGGGCTTCCGCTCGCACAAGTTCGCGCGCTTCTGCCGCGGCCGTGCCAGCGCGGCCCAGCGGCCTGCCCTGGCTGGCTTGGCGCGGCGGCTCTTCCTTTCCTGGCCACGAGGATCGAGACCAGCCTGCCCAAGGATCTGAACTGGGAGGGCCGCCTGAAGGATCGGGAGATCGGCCGCGGAGGGTCTGAGACCACGACGCCCCACAAGCTCACGCTGGAGCAGGTGCTTGACTTGTTGCCGCCGCCAGGAGTCGCCGCCTCGATCGAGGCCGCCGACGTCGCGACGGGCTTCGTCCGCGACGCCCTGCTCGACCCGTCGCTGGCGCTGCTGCCGCCTGGGCTGCGCCGCGCGGCCCCCACTTCAGCGCGGGTTTGGGCTGCTGAGGGCGAGTGGCATCGCATCGTGGAGGCATTGCGCGCGCCGTGCATGATTGCCGCGATCCCAGCGAGTGAGATCGATCGCCGCGACGGCGCCCCCCTGCTGAACGGCGCCTTCGGTGCCCCAAAGGTCCACGACGCTCCTGTCAAGTGCAGCGATGGGGAGCTGCGGCCCGTGCTTAGGCCCATCGCGAATCAGACCCCGTCGAATGCGCGCCAGGAGTGCATCGTGGGGGGCGCGCCCGAGATGCCGAAGATGGGCCAGCTCAACGGCCTAGCGCTAACGGAGTCCGAGGACCTGCTGCGGAACGGCGCCGACAGGAAGGCCTTCTTCCACGTCTTCCGCGCGCCGCCGCCGCGGCGACCGCGCGCGGTGATCGGCCCCCCGTCCCCTCGCGGCTGCTGGGCCTCAAGGATGGTGGCGCTACTCGCATCTGCCTGCGCGTGATCGGGATGGGCTGGATCAGCGCGGCGGGGGCCACGACTCACCTTCACGGCAATATGCTGCGCTGGAGCAGTTTGGTGCCGCGCGGACTTAGCCCCAGCTGCGAGATTACGCGACGGCGCCGATTGCCGCTGGAGAAGCTGCGCGGGACGGTGCCGGCGCTGCTGTCTGACGCGCGGGCTTGTTATGAAGCGGCTGGCTCGCCTGGATCGCCGGGCAAGGACCTTCACCGCGCGGTGCGGGCCACGACCTTGGGCGAGCTCGTTTATGGAGTTGAAGGGGCGCGCCGTCCTCCTGCAGGATACCTCGCCGAGGTGGCCAGCCTGGCGTTGTGGGTCCTTGGCAAGAAGCGGGCTAGCGTGCGGTTGATACGCATCCCCCTTGGCCGATGGGTGCGGGTGCATTGCTTCTGCCGCCCGCCAGCTGCGAGCTTCGCCCGCGCTCGGCGCTGGCTCGGCGACCCGCGCTGCGGGGGCCGCTTCAGCGTCAACGTCGCCGAGGTCCTGCTGATGTGCCTCGCGCTGTCGGGCCTTTGCGCGGCTGACATGCGGCTCGAGGTCGACCACCTGGCGACGGCGTCGCACGCTGCGGAGGCTGCAGGCGCCGTGGTCTACAGCACGGCCCTCCCTGGCCGCGGCCGCGCGCTGGCTGCGAGGCGCCAGCGGCCTGCCAACGCAGCTGCCGAGGGGGGGAACGCCTTGATCACCGTCTTCGACGGGATCGGCGGTGGTCGCAGGGCCTTCGGGGTCCTCGGGTTGGCCCCCGTGGTTCACTTCTCGTTCGAGGTGGGCCCCAAGGCGGTGCGCGTGGCGCGGCGCTGTTACCCTGGGACCCAGCACCTTGGGGATGCGACGGAGGCGGGCGCGCCCTCTTCGGCAGGCCTGCTGCCGACGCGGGGCCGCATTGCGCGAGCGTTGGTCATCGGCGGTTTCCCCTGCCAGGTGTTCGCGAGCCTCGACGTGGACCGCCGGGGCTCGTCGGACCCTCGAGCCTCCCTCATCGATTGCATGGTCGAGCTCGTCGGGGGTTTGCGGACGGCCACGCCTTGAGCCGCGCCAACCATCGCGAACCGAGTGCAACAGTAATCACAGCCAAGAATGGCCGCGCAAAGAATACAAACAAACAAAACAAAACACAGACAAACAACAAAACATACAAAAAATATAACAAAAATAACAATCAAAACAACAAAACCAAAAACCACCCACCCACCCCCAAACAAAAGAAAAACACAACGCCTCTAGGCCAAGACTCGTCGACCCACACAAATCACCGACCCGCCGACGAAAACCAGCGGGCGCTGTGCATGTGCGTAGTTATGCCAATGATATTCTCCGCCCTCTCCATGTCATCCTCCTCTTCATCCATCTTCTCCTCTCCCTCCCCCTCCTCCTTCTCCTTCGGGTCCTGGGGCCAGTTTGGGCTCGAGCCTTACCTGCTGGGACCTCTTGGGCCTCGTTCCTGAATTGCGAGGAAGTCTCAGGCGGGGGCCCTGGTTTGTTCGTTACTCACCTGCCCTCCTATCTTTTTCTTTGCGTTCGCCCTTCGCCCCTGTCTTGTAGCCGCTGCGGCTTCCATGTCCATTTTGGACGCGGTGACCGCCCAGGGGCGCGCCGAGTTATGGGCGCCGCCGCCGCCCCTGGAGCTGCCGCAGCGGCCAGAGCGGCGCCGGCGTCTCGGGCGTGGCCGGTCGCACGCGCAGGTGCTGGAGTTGGCCCGCCGCGACCGCTGGCAGCAGGCGCCCGCCTCGGCCAGTCTTGCGGCGGCGTTCAACAGGCGCCAGCACAGGAGCGGCGACAAGGTTGCCGTCGCGCCAGTGACGCGGGCGGACGGCGCTGCGCGCTGGCAGGGGAGAGCCTGGTGCGCGCGCGGCTGCCAGTCGGCTTGCTACGCGCAGCTCGGCGGCAGGGTGCGCCGGGAGGACGCGGGCACAGGCGAGGCCGCCCTTGGCGTCGCGGCGAAGCGCAAGGTCGCCTTGGCCAGCGCCGCCGCCGTCGTCCACCAGGACGCCGTGAGCGTCGAGCTCGCGCGCTTGCTGAACGACGAGCCGCCAGGCGTGTCCAGCTCGTTCGTCGGCCGCGGGTTCGACGGCACGCCGATGCGCCTCCAGTTTGGGGCGCTCAAGTCGGCGCTGCAGCCATGGGCCCGCTATCTAGGCTGGCTGCGCCATCCGCTGAAACCCTACAATCGTCGTCGTTGTTTGCCGCTAAGGGGCCAGCCATCCTGGAGCCATCCTGGGCCATCTTTGGATGTCACTGGGACCCCCCCGAAGTCGAGATAACGGTAGGCGCCACCCTCACGTTGCCCCCCCACCCCCACCCCCCCACGCGCACACACGCCCCACCACCCACCCCCACCCGTGATTTCGCAAGCAGTCCCCATGCCCAGCCGCTGGCGGCTTTCACTTGGGAGTGGCGGACTTCCGATGGGATGCAGCTTCGGAGTCGTGGCAGAGCTTCACCTTTGATGAGCTCAAGGCCCGCGGCTGCAACGTTGCTGTCGGCGCGGCGTCGGGCGTGCTGGAGCTCTTCGCCCAGGTGTCCGACGTGTTCGTCAGCGGCGCGGGCGGCGCCCAGCGCGGGGCGGAGGTGCCTCTGCGGCCGACCATCCTGGAGGCGGCCAACGCGTCCGCCATCGCAACCGCGCTGGACGAGGCGTTGCCTGCGGTGAGCAATGACCAGGTGCGCCGAAGAGGAGGGCGGGGAGGGAGGAGGGGGGGGGGGGAGGAGGTGGAGGGGGGGGGAGGAGGAGGAGGAGGAGGAGGAGGAGGAGGAGGGAGGGGGGGGGGAGGAGGGGGGAGGAGGGAGGAGGAGGAGGGAGGGGGAGGAGGAGGAGGAGGAGGAGGAGCAACATCAGCAGGAGGAGGATGACCAGAAGGAAGAGGAGCAAAAGCAGGAGGAATATGACCAGGGGGAGGAGGAGGAGGAAGAGGGGGAGGAGGAGGAGGAGGAGGACCAGGAGGAGGAGCAGCGGCGGTAGGGGGGGACAAGATGAGAAGCAGGAGGAGGGGCAGGAACCAGGAGAAGCCCTTCCCGTTTTGCCAGGTGCGCGAGTTGGCCAATAAGTTCATCCTTGTCTTCTTGTGCGAGAGCCCTGACAACTGCGCCTCCAACGTCAGGCATCGGCTGTGCGTGTGCACGTTCTTCAAGGCCGTGAAGAATGTGATCATACCGCCGTTGCCGGGCTGCGTGGTCCACACGCTGCATCGGATCCTGGTGGCCATCACCGCTGAGCACCAGGTGATCGGCGACGTCCATGCCCTCGCCTTCGTGCTCAGCGGCAGCACGCGTCGGTCGCAGGTGCTCGCGGGCCTGATGGCGATCCTCGAGGACGAGCTGCACTACGAGGACACCGGGAGGGGGGCGGCAGGCGGCGGGGGGGGCTAGGGAGGAAGGAGAGAGGATGAGGAAGGAGGACGAAAAGAGGGAGGATGGGGGGTGCCGAGGAGGAGGAGGAGGACCAGGAGGAGGAGGAGGACCAGGAGGAGGAGGAGGACCAGGAGGAGGAGGAGGAGGACCAGGAGGAGGAGTAGGAGGGCCAGGAGGAGGAGGAGGAGGAGAGGAGTAGGAGGACCAGGAGGAGGAGGAGGAGGAGGAGGAGGAGGAGAGAAGGAGGGGGGGGAGGAGGAGGACGACGAGGAGCCCGCCTCGTTCCTCCTCCTCCAGCTTCACCGCGACCCCGGCGACCCCCCTGGCCACACCCAGTGCCCCCCGGCACTGCGGCCCCACGTGGTTGATGATCTCCGCGTGCTCGGGTGTGGCCTGACGCGCCGCCAGGACGACGACTGGGCGGAGCTGGCCGCCGGCTCCGGGGGCGGCGCCCGAGCCATGGGCAAGGTTACGGAGGCCTTGGGGGTTTTCGGCCAGACCTTGGACGAGGCCGTGGCCGCCGGCCTCGGGGTCCAAGAGGCCGGCGCTATGCTCCGCTGGACTGCGCAGGGCCTGCCGAACCACCTCCTGCGCGCGCAGCTCGTGGACCAACGAGCGGTGCAAGCTTTCGACTGCGTCCTCCGGCGCCTATGGGACCGCCTCCTTAACGAGACCCAGACCGACAGGGAGTGGGCCCAGGCTTGCTTACCGCTCGGAGACGGCGGCCTCGCCGCAGGAGCCGCCGAACCCCGTCGGGAAGCCGCCCACGTGGCCGCCTGGTGCGCCGCGGCTCCGGCTGTCGCGCGCGCCTTGGGCATGGGCAGCGCAGAGGAGCTCCTTGCGAGGCAGGCCACGGGCACCCAGGGCTTCGCCGACGCTGTGGCTGCCTACAACACCAGGGTGGGCAACGCGGCTTACTACCTCCAGGTCTCGCTGGCGCAGGGCGAACGGAGCAGACAGAAGGACTTGATGCTGCCCGTCATGGAAGTCCTTGGCGCGCGGGCTAGGGCCGGCCTGGACGACCGCGCGCTGGGCCGCCTTCTGTCCTGCGGAGGCCCTGGGGCAGGGGCTTTCACGCTGTTGCCTACGGCGCCAGAGCACCGGATGGCAACCGACCTGTACCGACTTGCGTTGCGGAGGCGCCTTCAGATGGAGGGCCCGCGGCTGCTGAAGGGTCATGCATTGCAGACGCACTGTCAACGCACATCCCGTGACGGGGTGGTTTGCGGAGCTTTGCATGAACCCGATCAGCATCACGCAATCGCGTGCGAGAGGGGGCCCACGCGCACTGCGCGGCACAACCGGGTCCGCGATTTGTTAGCGCGTTGGCTTGCCAAGCGGGTCCCGGGCCTGGTGCAGACCGAACAGACAGTGCCGCAGTGGACGCGGCGGCGCCGGGATCCAGAGACTGGCCAAGATCGGATGGAGCTGGCGGTGCTGGACGTTAAATGGTCCGAGAAGGGCGTGTGCCACGTGGTGGACGTGGTGGTCACTAGCCCAGACAGCGCTGACGAGCGCGAGGAGAGGGCCAGGGCGGCCCACGCGGGCCTTGCTGCCGAGGACGCCGCGCGGGGGAAGCAGCTACGCTACCCGCCTGGCCCAACGACGCCAGCCCTGACGCCTTTCGCCGTCGAGACAGGCGGGCGGGTCGGCCAGGCGGCCAGACAGCTCGTGCTCGACCGGCTGGACCACGCTGAAGGTGAGGCAGGGGCGAGCGCAGACGCCACTGCCTTTTGGCAGGAGCTCTCGGCCACGCTGCAGACTGCAGTGGCCGAACAGATCCTCGCCGCTCATAGGCCGCCGGCCCCAGCCGGAAGACGCTGAGCTGGGCGTGGCCTGGGTGTTGGCGGTGGTGGTTGAGGTGGTGCTTGAGGTGGAGGTTGAGGTGGTGGCGGAGGAGGAGGAGGAGGAGGAGGAGGAGGAGGAGGAGGAGGAGGAGGAGGAGGGGGAGGCCGCGGACGCATCCAGCTTGCGGGCAGAGGGCGCGCTGCTGAGGTGCTTGGCGCCCGGAGGACGAGGGCCGTCGCGCCCGGGGGCTTGCCGGAGGATGAGGAGGAGGCAGGGGGCGGAGGAGGCGGAGGCGGAGGACGAGGTCGACAAGCGGGCCCCGGAACGCCCTGAGGCCAGCATGAGCGGTTGGCGCCGAGGCGCCCGGAGACAGGAGGAGGGGGTAGAGGCGGCGGAACCAGAAGAAGAAGAGGAGAAGCGGCCGTGGCACGGAGGAGCACGTAGAGGCTGAGGAGGAGGAGGATGAGGCGGAGGCAGAAACAACAACCACGTTGAGACTGATGAGGAGGTACAGGTAGAGGAGGAGACGGCAGCCATTCCAACGCCACGACACGATGACCGCCCCCCGCCCCCCGCCCCCTCCTTCCCCCTCCCGGGCCGCCCTCGCAGGTGTGTTAATTTCGCTTGTTCCACTTCCCCCCCAGCCTGGGTCAGGGGCCGTTGCCCGCAGGCCGAGGGGGTGTATAGTGCTGCTGGGACTGGACGGCGCCCTCACACGCCTGACCCCGTCCTCAATTGGGACACGCGCCGCCGGCGGCTGGTTCACTTTGAGCGGGGCTGCGGGCGCTGTGGATCAAGGGAGGCGGCCATCGCGAACGTGCACGCGGCGATCGTCTCGTCTGGCATATTCCCAGGATCTGCTTGGACGGCCCCTGCTAAGTCTAGGTTCGGCA